GCCGGAGCTGCCGTCGACGACTCTCCAGTTTCGCCAGCCGCCTCGACGTCCGTCGTCATGGTTGCGCTGGGCCCAAAGTCCGTCAGGATCTCGAGACCTTTCCTGACCGGCTTCTCAGCAGCGGCACAGCTGCCCTCCCATGCCTTGTGCGCCGTCTTGACGAAAAAGTGCAGCGTCAACGGCCACCGCTCGAAGCTCGGCACGCGCAGCAGTAGGTGCAGGTTCGACATGATGGACGTGATGCCGGGCCGCGGGCGCTTGGGGTGTCCGTTCTTCTTGACGCCCGCCGCGCGCGAGATGCGCGACTCGCTCGGTATGTGTAATGAGAGGTGCGGGTTCGTCAGCGCCCACCTGCGTGGCCGGTCAGCTTTGCGACTCGGGGGAAGAGACAGAGAGAGAGGATGGAGCGCACTCGAATTTCAGGGCGGCAATCATGCTGGGGAAGCCGGAGACGATGGCAATCATTTCCCACGGTCGCAGGCTGCTGCGCGACGTGCGGGCAGCGCCGCCACGCGCGAGACCATTGTGCTGCTTGAGGCGGCGCGGCGGGTTGGGGGTCGAGCCGATGTAGAGGGAGGCGTGGCGGACGGTGGAGCGCAGGATGTAGACGGTGTAAAGCGCGGGAATCGGCCTGGAAAGGACTGCCATCGCGGCAAGCGAGTTCAGCTCATCCTGCTGCGCCCGTGTGGTGTCGTCAATTGACCAGCGCGAAGGTTGAGCGTTGGAAGGTGGTATGGTTGGGTGTAGTGATGGGGGGCGAGGTTGGTCATCGTTGGCGGGGCGGAAGTGTCCCTTTGGATCGCGTCCTTATGTCCCCTGAAATGCTAGTCGCGTACAGCCCACAGCAGCAATCTGCAGGTGGTCAAACTTCGTGCCGAGCATCACGTAATGTGTATCAAACGATCCGTCTTGTGCAGATAGTTTCCCCTTCTTGGACACAGGACAGGATCAGTTTTTGGCTCAAACGCCTCCTACTTGTAGGATAAGCCTGCATTACGCTCATCTACGATATACCTCATTCCTCAAAGCCACCGCTCAGTTACAACAAGCCCTGCTTCTGCAGATCATAGTACACCTTCTCCGGCATGACATTGCCCTCGCCGTCCTCCATCTGCACGATGCTGCCGTCATCCACCTTGTTTTTCTTGGCTTCGCGCTGGATTTTCTCCCACAGATTCGTCGCTTGCTCGATGCTTGTAATGTCGCGGAACAGACTCGTATTCGTGATGCCGAGGCAACGCAGGCCGTGAACGTGCCGCGCTTCGTTAAAGTGCTTGTCGAACGCCCTCCTGCCCATGTAGACGAAATTGCCACAGATCTCACATGGGAACTCGACGCCGAGGCCGTGCAGCCTGTATAGCCAGTAGGGAATCGGCTTGCCATCCCACGAGAGGGGCAGCTTCAGCGGGTTGTAAATCTTTTCCTCGCCGTCGTCGTCCTCGCCGTCTTGGTCTTCCGTGCGCTCCTGCTGGTCGCCCCCGGACAGGCTCATGAGGTGTCGAGCTCCTGCTGGCGCTCACGCTCCGTCATGCCCTGCTTGCGCTCGACGTTGACACGGGTGTCGGCTCGTTCCGTACTCATGGCCGCCGCCAGACGCTTCACTCTGTATTCTCGCTCGGCCACGGCGCGCTTCCTTCAACCGCGTAGCCAGAGATCTTGGCACCGGTTGCCGGTTTGTGATTTCCTCCCCG